AGCTCTGCAAAATCTTTTAAGAACAGGAGAGAGAAACTGGGTAAGAAGTGTTTAGGCATATGCAAAGTTTTGTGTCTTGGTATCGGCTGGTTGAAGTTGAGAATAATGTCTTGACATCAAGTGAAATGTGATGGGGTGATAAAGGACCTCTAACTAAAAGGTTGGGGCTGCTTTGTGAGGCCATTCATTATAAAAAATTTTAGCAGTAAGGGGGGGGAAATATCAAAGAGTTTTATTAGGTGAATAAAAAAATTTTGAAACTTGGCTAGGAAAACATTCCAAGGGTAGGACTTCTGCAGTATAAAGAAGGAATTTAACTAAGTACAGCTCATTAAAAGAGAGTCAGATGTCTATTAAAAAAATCACTAATTTCTCGCTGCATTTGAAACTTCTGTTAAAATGTATTTTATTTATATATAATTGCTTATTGCTTAATTTCTGCATGTTTCTAAAGTAAATTTAAATAATTTCAAAAAGTGGGGTTTTTTAGTGTGGTTTGTTTTTTTTTTTTTTTTTTTTTTTTTTTTTTCCCCATTGGTCTATACTGAAGTTTTAGCCTCTGGAGTATCTCACATTATTCTGTTGTCATCACGTGGCCTTTTATTTTGTCTCTTTTACTTAGGGTCTAGCAATACTCTGTATGAAAGAACATGTCTGGAAAATGTATTTTTGAATACACAATACCAACTTGTGTAGGTACAGTCACCTTTTTACTTTAGTATATTTTGCAGGGTCACAATGCAACCTTTCATATTTAACCTTTTGTGGAATTAAAATGAAAACTTAATTTAAAGCTTTTGGTTTGTATGAATAGGGAAAATGACTATAGTGCCATTAACCTCATTGTGCATATCCAGGTCATTAAAGAAAGGGGAAGAAATAAGGTGGATGCTGTGACAGTTTCACTGGACTAGCCCTTGGCCAGCAGCCAACACAGCTGTTCACCCACTTCCCCCCACTGCCAGGGGATAGGGGAGAGGATTGGGCGCAAGGATTAGGAGGCTTGTGGGTTGAGATAAGAACAGTTTAATAATAGAATTAAAAGAAAACTTAAAAAACCCCCCAAACCCTAATATTAAAATAGTAGTGATAGTGATAACAGTAATAAAATATACAAATGAGTGATACCAGTGCAACTGCTCACCACCCGCTGACCGAGCCCGGCCCGTTCCCAGATAATGATCCCGGAGGAGTGACAATCCTGAACCCAAATCGCAATCCTGGAAGAGCGAGAGCCCGAGCGAAAAACCTGTGTGAACCCCCCCCTTTCTGGTCAGCCCTGGATAATATACTAAATATGACGTGATATGATATGGAATATTTAATAAGCACATCCAAATGCCAGTTCTGGGCTTTGCTGTTTACTGCTCTTCTCCCTCCCAGTCCTAATGCAGCTGTGAACAGCCAAACACAGTGGCCTTGAGCTCCAGCAACAACTAATGACATTAGTACTTTTATCAGTGTTCTTCTCATAACAAGTCTGAACTGAAACCAAAACACAGCTTTTCTAACTACTGAGAATAAAATTATCCTAGCAAAACCAGGACAGAGGCATAATTCCCACTAAGAAATGTTGATTCCTATAATTTTGGAAATTACAGACTGGAGAAAGTCACATATTACTGAAGTTCAGTAAGAACAATACATAAATAAATAGAATCCCGCTAGGGATGAAGTTAAAAAGATACCTAAGAAAGCACTGCTAACAGACTGAAGGAAGAATAGTGTTATGAAGAGTAGTCAGGTGGGATGGATGTCATTAACAAACCACCACACCTTTTGGATGAGATTATCAGAAGAGCGTGATGGCCTTGGGTGCTCATGACCTGTGGGTTCTTGAAGCAGCTGGCTCAACTGCCTGGGGTCAGACATCATGGGGGCATCTACCCAAGACAAACTGCAAAGAGGTCTTTGTGCCTCCTGTGGCATGCAACCAGCCAGGAGGGACATGTTGACTTCTGTCAGCCTCAGAGAACCTGGCACAATCCCACCCTTCATGGGGAAGAAATAATGAGCAAAAGTGGGTGTTTTTATTGCCAGGTCAAGATTTGACAAGTTGAAGTCACCTGTTGCTACAAATAGCAAAACATGGGGAAAAGAGGGATGCTCATGTATAGACTACTCATGTGTCTACAAATAATCCAATATCTAGTCCTTATATTTATATTTCTTATTCTAGTGCAGTACTGGCCCTATATTTATTGCATATAGCTACACTTATTCATTCTGAAGGATACCAATGAATGTTTAATTTGTCTTCTTTTGGGTTTTTTTCTCATTTAAATTAGTGTGAGCTCCTTATCTGCTGTTAAAATGTAAGAGATCAGAAACTGTGCTTGAATAAACACTGTAGTAATTTATGTAACACCCTGTCAGTTTCAGATATTTGGCATCGTCCAGTGTTCCACTAGGTGGATTTTCAAAAGCTGGCTTCTGTATTTCACACCTGCAAACTACAGCAATATTTAATAGGAAGCACTGTGTGCCTCCAATTAATTCTGAATGCAGAAGTGAAATCTGGCCCCGTGCATCAAAGAGCTTGGAGGCCACTTCTCTGGTTATTTGCTCAGCTGACTGTATTTGCTCAGAGCTGATGTCCTCAGTGGTACGGTGTGGTTGACATGCTTACAGGAATCTGAGTGCATTACTAATTGCGGTCACATTGCAGAATGAATAAGTCTGAGGCTTTTCCTGCCTTCTTTTAGTGCTTTTCACCATTAAAAAAGCAGAATGAGCATTGATTGATTCCCTGTGATCCATCTGGAATTGTGACATTTATATTTAAGTTCTGTGTGAACATGTCTCCATTTTATATTTTAAGGGCATTTACCTAGTTCTATTTAGGCCTTTTTTTATTTTGTGGCTTGCAACTTCCTGGGACCAGCTGCACCCCAAATAATTGTCAATCTCAGTTTTTATGCTCTTATTACAGTTTCTTTGTCCCTTGCAGATCAAGATTTTCTGAACAAATCCCGCTGAAGTCCTTTCATTCAGTTTAATCCATTTTTTCTCAACTCTTTTTGCTTCTCATGGTTTTTTTTTTTCCCCTTGAACTCTGTTTATAGCGTATACACATTGCTTTAATTTCATACCTAATTTCTATACATTTTGATGAAATTAAAACAACAACAAAAAGTATAAAGAATTCAGAGGGCTTACCAAAATGTTTAGTAATAAACTGAGTCATCCCCAAAGTACAATATGAATAAGCCATGGGACTACTTGCGTGAAAAGGAGCACTGAGCAACAGCAGGCGCCATGGTTTACTGTGGTCACCATCATACTACAAGTCTAGGAGTGGCTGATGAAAAAACACACTGAGCAAACAGCATAGGAATATGAATAAATAGCCATATAGCAGGGTTTTATGGCTTGGTATAAAGCACCTCTAGATGTCACTGTAACATTGTAAAATGTAGATAAGAGAAAGCTACAAAGCTGACATTATGGTTTATATGCTCTGATTCCTGGTAACTGTTATGGTCAGCCTGTAATAAATTATTGGATTATTAAAAATGCTGTTACCAGATGTTGATTAACAGCAAAAAAACTTTTTGAAATCTGTCAGTAAGACTGTTACTGAACATTTTACTAGAATATTAAATATTATTAGCTTTGGTTTAACTAACTTAGTTTTTAACAGCAAAAGCTAGTGCAAGGCAACAGCTCATTTCTGGATGTGTTTTTCTTTCAGTCCCTGAGGCTCCATCCTAATCTTTTCTGGGCTCTGTTTATGCCAACAGTGATGTTATTTACAGCTCGGATCACTTCTCTTGCATTACACTGGCACCAATCTGATCAGCTTGGTAGTGATTAAAATAAGGACCATCATTTATAGGAAAAGTGTGAGTTGGAACACAGGGTACTTGAATTTGACCAAAAACATCAGGCTGCAATTTCATGAGGAACAATACAACAGGAATACTGTATACATTGACTAATATATCAATTGCCTTTTCCAAACAGGTCATCAAAGAAAAGTCACATTTGAATGAGACGGGAACAAAAGAGAAGAAGCCACCAGATTCAACAGGTTGGAATATTTTTTCTTTGACCAGTTTCTAAGGGTACAAAGGCTCCAGTGCAGTTGGTTGGGTTACATATGTGCTCACCAGCCTGAGTGAGAATTGTCCAAGCAACATCAACTCACATGGCAGCAAACTGCTCAAAAAAGTGCTTTGTATGAGGATTTTATTAACTTTAACTTGTCTGACAATAAATTTGGGTGAAAAAAATGTTTTACAGTGTTGTGTCTGAAAGGACCATAATATCCCAGTTTTGAAGTAGTCTCTTCTCTCTCTCTCTCTCTCTCTCTAGGAGACATTTACACTGACCTTGGAAGTGGGAGAGGAAAGCAAGTGCCTAGTTCAAAATGCAACAGAAGTTATGCTAAGTGTGCAATCCCACTTTAACACTGTTACTGACAGGTTCTTTGGTAATATGTTTATTTACAGAAGGGACCATCCAGAAGAGCCAGTCCCACTCTCAGGAAGATGTTGATAAACTCAACAAGGAAAATGCCGAGAGGGAAAGTTCTGTTCTGCCTCAGATCGATCCTCCCAAATTTCGTACTGAAGGGCCGGAGAAGAAAGGAGAAAGTTTGGCTTTTGAAAGCTGTTACAAATACAGGAGAAGCTCTGTTCAGAAATCCTTCACTACAGAAAAGCAGCAAGAAAATGTTGTTGATGATGCTTGTCAAAGGATAACTGAGCAGGAGAGCAAGTCCTCAGCAGATGGGGAGAGAAAGGAGGAACGTCAGGTGTCTAAAGATAAAAAACAAGAGGAGAAGGAGAATGAAGAGGAGGGAAATGCTGGTAAGAGTGAAAAAGGTGAGGAACCACCAGCTCCTTCCCAAAGTGAAGATGAGGCAGGACAAAGCCATGATCAAGAGATACCAGAGGGAAGGTAAGGTGTGATGCTCAGGCTGCACAGTCCTAGGAGACCCGTGTTTTAGAAAAATGTGTAGTTCAAGTTTCAAGTCAAAGTGGCTGGTTAATATAAATATTGGTGAAAATCCAGCCCAGTACAAAAGTGTAAAATGAGTTTATCTCTCTGATCTGAGCTCTAAGTTGAAAATCTACCATTAAAAAAATACAGGCAGACAATCTACTGTACTAGCAGTATGCTTTGGTTGGTTACTTGGGAAATAAGTTAGGAACATGGGAATTATGTTAGGCTATTCATCTTCAAGGAGAATTCTCTTGCTATGTTTATATACTGCAGCATGACATGAGCAAAGGAAGGTTAGATTAGACAGTGTACCAATTGGGAATTAAGTTACTGCAGAATGTAGTAACTTAAAACTGTGAAACTTTGCCCAGGCAATTAAACTAATAAATCTGTTTACTGCAATTCTTTCTGTGTTGCATTGATATATAGCCCTTCAGGGATAAAGCGGTTTAAGCTCTCAGGAATCTATATGAACAGAGTGAAATCCCAATGTTATCCCATTGCTTTAAAGGTGAGATTGTTAGCCAAATGTTAAGTTTAGAAGAACCCAGGTGAGGATTTCAGTAACGGAGAAACATTTTGCTGTCATGATTAATTTCAGGGTCATTTTTATTTCTTAAAGTGAACATTAAAGCAGTTTATTTTACACCATGAAGCAAAATAACCTAATGTTATATGAATGCAATATATGGGTAGGTGTTTTTCACCTATGTTTCTAAATATGCTCTACTTTAATTGTATCCTGCTCTAATGCCATGTTTTATCCTTGCAGGTGTAAAGGCTGCGAAAAAGGTACAGAAAATTATAGTTCAGTCACTGAGCAGACCTGCCATAGTGGTAGCAGTAAGCATCAAGTGAATGATGAAGGCCTAATCAAAGATGGCAACAAAAAGAACAGGCTAGATGCAGAAAGTGCTGATGATATATGTAAAACTAAAAAAAAAAAACCAAAAAACAAAAAACTTTTACAGGAAGTATTCCTAAAGGCAAAGTACTTGATTCCACTGGTACTACAGTGACAGATCAGAGATGCACATCCGTAGAAGAGAATGATTTCATGATTGTAATTATTAGGGGAAAAGGTGTACATGGTAGTTCTGACACGAAGCAGTTGTTCATGAGCCACATCCTAAGCTGATGGAAAATAACACTATTCTGTTTGCTTCCATCATAGAGGCTTCTCTTCTGGCAGAAATTAGTCTCAACTAATTTGCTTTTGCCACAGCTACTCTACTAATACTATCC